TGACTGGATTCATCAGCCACTGAATATTCCCCACATCTCTGAGATGGGGACCAGAGTGATGTCTTGGGTGCCGTGGAGCTGCTCAGGTTCCACACGTCGCTGCCCGGCCCCCGATGATCTGATAATCTCCTCCTGTACGCTGGGCCCCAGCGCTGTGCTCTGACACATGCCCTGGGTGAGCTGGTTGTTTAGGTGTCACTCAAAACCCTTCCCAGGCTGTAGCACTGAAGAGGTCCTGAGGTTGCTTTTGCTGCCCTTTCCTCTCTCCACACAGAACAGCTGTTTTCCTGGAGGAGGAGGTAGTGGAAGCACCCACTGTTCTACTGGGAAGGATGCACATCCATCCCTAAAACCTTTTGCAGGGCCCATTGCCTCATCTCCTCAAAGCCTCCAGGGAATTCTGAGGAGATCCACCAGTCCTGACCCAACAGGGGTACAGGGACCAGTTCCACTCCACCCAAGGCAGCTCCCAAACCCAACATGGTCTTAAGGGAGGCGGCTGAACACACCCAGAGAAACCTCTGTGGTCGGCAGCCTCGTGAACCAGCCTCCCCACCTCCACGCTCGTGACCAGCCCTTGCCACCATGAACCAGCTGAGGTTTGGCCCCATTGCCACACAGGCTCAAGGGGCGTCTCTTCACGTTTATCTCTCCGCCATCCACCCAAGAAAAGACCCGTATTATCTCTGAGGTGGAGGGAAAGCTGCTGTGTCACTGGAGCGCTGTTGTTTTATCTGGAAAGGGGCTGGGCAGCTTTCAAAGCCTGTTTCTGTCCAGCTCCACGTGCAGGAGGACTTGGGGGTCCTCAAAAGGTGCAAATTGCAGCTGCACAATTAAATCACAGGGTGTGTCCCGGCCTCTGAGGTCCCCTGGGCAGCTCAGCCCTAAGGAGGAGACAGTGGCATTACTAATCAGGGCTTTGACCTTTACATGGCTTTTATTTAATACACATTCCACACTTCCCCAAACTCCCATCCAAAACATTGACATTTCCGATGATAGATTGGGTCAGATTTTGGAGTAGTTGGGGGACTCAATTCACTCTTACAATGGTTAAATTCTTACAGCTAAATGGGCTTATTCAGTTAGTGCAGCAGCTGGTGTGATTTCGAGAAGAAAATAAACATTTCCTTCAAATATTTTGATTGGCAACTGGACAACTGAAATACTCAAGCTCAGATTGCCAGGGTCCAAAAAAGCAAATGGGGGCTGGACGGCGAGTAAGAGAGGGAAACTGTAGTAAATCCTCGGAGGCAGAACTATGGAGCAGATGTGTGTGAGATGCACTGGGGAAGGGGACAGTGAGATGGGGCTTTTAAAGGCCATTTTTGGCTGTGATTCCTGTGTGGATCCATGGCAGCCCTGAGGGGAGGGAGCCAAGATGGAGGGGCGGTTGTGAGGTCAAGGAGATGGGATGGAGGGGAAACCCTGAGGTGAGGACCAAGATGGAGGGACAGTTGTGAGGTGACAGCGCTGAGGTGGAGGGGCACTTGTGAAATGAAGAAGATGGGATGGAAGGGAAACCCTGAGACGAGGACTGAGATGGAGGGGCGGCCCTGAGGTGAGGGAGCCAAGATGGAGGGGCAGCTCCATCTGAGATGAAGGAGACGGGATAGAGGTAAAACCTTGAGCAAGGACCAAGACGGAGGGGAAACCTTATGAGGATGGAGGTGGAGGGGAAACCCTGAGGTGAGGACCAAGACAGAAGCAGGAGTTGTGAGGTGACAGCGCCAAGGTGGTGGGGTGAAGCGGCGGAGATGGAGGCGCAGCCCTGAGGCGAATGAGACAGGACAAGGGGTGAAACCCTGAGGCGAAGGCCAGGATGAAATGGGGCTGTCGTGAGGCGAAGGAAGTGGGATGAAGGGGAAGCCCTGCAGGTGGAGGGCCCGAGATGGAGGGGCGTTCGTGCGGTGACAGCGCTGAGGCGATGGCGGGACCCCCTCTAGCGGCCGCCTCCCTCCCTCCCTCCCTCCTTCCCTCCCTCCTTCCCTCCCTCCTTCCCTCCCTCCGCCACTGCCGCCCCCTTCTGGCAGTGGGACCCGCGGAACCCTGAGGGGCTCCGGGCCCACCGCCGACCTGGGCCGGGCCATGGAGGGCGAAGAGCCCCCCGGGGGGAACCGCTGTCCCACCGGGGTGCCGCGGTGTGGAGCTTGTCCTCCCTCCCCGAGGGCCATGGTGGAACAGAGACCGGCGTTATACAGCGGCACAGCCCGGTGTCTGCGAGGCTGAACCACCCACCCCCTCCACACACACACAGATAGCACAGCGGCAAAACACACAAATGGGGTTTTGTTTTTGAGGTGGTTTTGGGGGTTTATTTTTAGCCTCGGACTGGTCGGGGAGAGCTGGAGCTTTATTCTGGGCCAGACTTTGGAGCCCGAGGCCGGAACGGATGAAAGCGAGCTGGTCACGGGCTGCTGGATGCCCCGTGGCTCTGCTGGATGTGGATTCACACCGAGGGTTCACACGGAGGGGTTCGCTTTCTCAGGGATTCACGCTCCAAATTCATGGATCCCAAGCCTGCAGAGTGCCCTCTTGTCCAGGATCAGACCCTGGCAGAGCTCCCTCACTGCCCATCCATGTTTTTCAGGCCATAGCTGAGTGTCTCCAGACCCCCTGGCATTGCTGTGCTTTGCTCATCACACACACAGCCTGTAATGAACACTCTTACACACTCCTGTCTGAATCAGTAGCAAGGACCCATTGCCAAACGGTGCGAGTTCAGGCCAATAAAACGTAGCCTCTAAAAAAAAAAAAAAAGAAAAAAAGAAAAAAACATTGAATATGTTATAGAGGAAAAGGAAAATGTGCCCTGAGCACTTAGGTTTGATTTCGATTTGCATTTTATGGAATATTATTTTTGGGCCTGCGAAAGCTAACGAAGGAGCACGGTCTGAGCGCTGGAGATTGTCACCTGGGAAGGCAGCAAGCGCCAGTCTGGGTTTTCTGGGGACTGGGGGGGTTTGGAGGCTGCTTTTTTTGCGGTGTATGGCAGCGCCTGGCAGTATTCTGGTGCTGCCTTTGGGATGGGGGCAGAGCATCCTGCTGGGATGTGCGAAATCAGGTTGGCTTTGCAGTGCTGTGAGCGCTTTTCACCGCCTCGTGCTTTTCCAGCCGTCCCGCGTACGCTCCCCCTGCACACCGCGTGGAGCCAGGACAGCCCTGCGGCCCAGCAGCCGCTTCCACGGTCGGCTTTTCCAGCCGGAGCAGTGCGGTCCGTGACAGCTCAGGGCTGCTCCTCTCTTTATCTCGCACCAAAGCCACAGCCACGTTCGCAAACCAGGTGCTCCCCCCGCCTCTCCCCTCCGTGGAGCCTGCGTGGGAAGGCAGATCGCCCGCAAAAGGGCTGCAGGGGAGGGAGGAACCTCCTCCCCCCTCCTCCTTCCAGCGGCCGGTGGCTGGAGGACTCACCCAGGATTAGAAAGAGGGTTCAGATCAACCCCCCTCCCTACCTGCCCCTCCAGAGCCTGCCCGTGTCACCAGGTAGCTGGAAGGGATTAACTGAAGTGTTTTTTTCCTGGGGAAATGCTTCGGGGGCCTGGGACTCCAGCCCTGAGAAGTTCAAAATGCTTCATTGTAATAAATATATATATAAAGCACACATCCCCGTGCATGCAGAGCAGGCACCCAGCCCTATGAATGTGAGTTTGTATGTATATTCATATCCAAACCCAACAAGCATGTTTAGCATACTCACCTCACCTTCTCTTGGTCTGAGTGATTCAAAATCCAGCTGATGTGACCAAAAAATCACTGGGGCTGGATTCCACTACCAAAGCAGAAAGGCCCTGCTTTTAACAAGGGAAAAATAGGGTTCTTGGGAATAATCCAAGAGGATGGAGAGCCACCTCCAGTTGGGCAAGGCTTTGAGCTCAGTGCATCAGATTTGGGCTAGAATTGCTCTTTCGAGAGATCTTCGTCTCACAAGCAGTGTTACAAGGCTGAGAGAGGTGCAGTCACAGTGTTTCTAGACATGCTCTCTGCAGACCCAGTGCTCGAACTGGACCTGGGCTGTGGAGTTCTCAAGTACAGAGGTTTTACTTTTCTCCTTTGACAGCAAAACTCATTTCTCTCTGTCTTGATGCACCAAGGCCGGAGGTTTCTGGGCTTTGCAAGGAATGGCACTGGCCTTGGGACAGCTGAGAGAGCTGCAGGAACACCTTGAGGTCCTCAAAGGATCTGCTGGTGTGGACTCCCACCCCTAACCTGGGCTCCCCACAGGAGGACGGGATCCAAGAGCACTGAGCAAAAGTCCCTCTCCAGTTCCAAGCTGATTGTGACCCCCTTTGTTTTTAGATCCCCCAAGAAAAGGTGTGGGGGGCTCCAGCATCCAATGGAGCTGGGTAACGTCCCCAGTGCGCTGCCCCGAGTCTCCCTTCCCCCAGCAGAAGAAAGCCTGAATTTCTCACTCTCTTTATCCTCTTGGAAGGAGAAAAAATACACAGTGAACTCAAGCAGAGGGATATTGTGGGCTCCTAGCTTGGGAGTTTTCAGCTGTGTGTTTATCGGCTCCATCCCCTGATGGTATCAGCACGAACAGGCCACCCACAAGAAGGCTTAACAGGCTGGTCTGGGCTCCAGCTTTTCCTCCCTGTCTCCGTGTGTGTGTATATACACCACGCAGGATCCCAGGGACCGACCGTCTGGGGCCTGCATCCATTTATTTACTACACAGCTGATGTAATGGCTAAACATCTTTTTTTTTTTCTGTGTTTATGGGGTGTGTTTTTTTTAATCTGCCGGAGATGAATAGAGCCCTCAGAGAAGCTCAACTAAGTCGTGTCCCTTCTTGGATAGGAAACAACAGATTTTAGGACAGGAAATGGGAACAACTTAAACAAACGGGTTTGGGATTTTTTTTTGGATTTTCTTTTTATTTAAGCTCCCCAACTCTCTCCCCTGGCAGATCTAGGATACGCTTTTCCTTCCGACTTTAATTCCTAGGACAGACCCTCAAGGATGGTGTTCTAACCACCCTTGTTCTTCCTCCACCCCAACAGGCACGTCAGACCTGAGCCCCTTCTCCGACCCCCGGCAGTTCGACCGCTCCTTCCCGACGCTGCCGGCGCTCACCGAGACCAGGTTCTCCGACCCGCGGATGCATTACCCCGGTGCCATGTCCGCCGCCTTCCCCTACACCGCCACCCCCTCGGCCACGGGCATCGGCGGCATCAGCATGACCAGCATGCCCGCCACCACGCGCTTCCACCACACCTACCTGCCGCCCCCCTACCCCGGCTCCACGCAGAACCAGAGCGGACCCTTCCAGGCCAACCCCTCTCCCTACCATTTGTACTACGGCACGTCCTCGGGCTCCTACCAGTTCTCCATGGTGGCGGGCGGCGAGCGCTCGCCCACCCGCATGCTCTCGTCCTGCACGAGCGCCTCGGCGGGGAACAACCTCATGAACCCCGCCCTGGGCAATCAGAACGACGGGGTGGACGCGGACGGGAGCCACAGTAACTCGCCCACCACCATGACGACTACTGGGAGGATGGATGAGTCTGTCTGGAGACCCTACTGAGGGGAACTCAGCTGTGCACCAGTGTCTTTAGCTCAATCAGCCACCTTTTGCTCCTTTTGGTAGCGACCAGAGCAAAGTGATGCCCAAACCAAAGCCTCCCAAACCAAAAGCAAGCCAGGATCCTCTGCATGCAAGCACGGGCGAACATCAAGCAAAGATGGGCCAGGACCTACGTTGCATTTCAAGATGAACATCCACGAGGCTTGATGTGGTTCCCTTTGTGTGTCTTAAGTGTGTGGATTGTACATAGGGGAAAAGAAAATAAAACAGGACACGTGGAATCAGGTGTTTGTTACTCGCAGAACACTTCTCAGTCATCTCACTCACACCTCTTCCCCTCACAAAGAGAGAGGAAAAGCTTCACCCTTCCTCTGCAAAATGGTTCAGAGAAGAGAAAAGACCAGGGAGCCGCCCAAACCATCTCTCTGCCAGTGCATGAGGACTGAACTGAGGAAAAAAAAAGGAAAAAAAAAAAAAAGGAGGAAAAAAAAAAAAGAAAAAAAAAAATCCCATCTTCTCCTTCCCTCCCCACTGGTGTAGGGTCCCTGACCACCAAAGAGCTCTGGAACAACGCCAGAGCAGTCGGGTTTACGGCACAACCGCGGGGATCGGGCACGGCGGGGCTGCGCCGGCGTCAGCCACGTGAACGGGAGCTGTGATGTGATTATTATTATTATTATTGTTAATTATTATTAATTCGCTGTTGGCGACAGAGGTTGTATTGTTCATTTTTTTTTTGTCACTGTCGTCACTTTTCAAACAGTAACGTGGCTGATCCCGTGCCCGACCGGCCCCTTCTCTCTATGTTTACATACGAGATGTACTTTTTCACGAGACGTGTTTTGTTTTGCTTCGTTTTGTTTTGTTTGCTCTTCTGTCCTGACCTCACCACTCAGTTCTTTGCTCCTCTTTAGCGAATCTCGGTGATGGTGGCTGAAGTGAAGGTGGCGTTCAGGACAATCCAAGATGGATGAGATGCACTTCCAAGGGCGTCAGCTGCAAAAGGGACTCGGGGGCCTTTGGCATGACCTTGCCACTGCTCTCTGGGTCTTCTTTCCTCCTCTCTGAGTGGCAACACGTGCAGCTGGTGGCAAAGCATCATCATCATCATTCTGTCATGATTCTTTCCCACGTTTTCACCCAGAGGGGATTGACACGATGACTTTTTATTTTGACTTAACACTTGTCAGGTCATGCTGAAAGCTCTAACTGAGATTTGGAGAAAGGAGCACTTTCTACTCTTGGTGGTGGGAATATTGTGGAGTGATGTTATCTAGTCTTTTCCATCTCCTCACCCCTCCTTCCCTTCCCCTCAAGTGACCCAGAGCATGGGTGTCTTGCTGTAGATGAATAAGATGAAGAAGGGGCACTAAAGATACCATCAGCCCATTAATGACTGGTTGCATCTTGTGGCATTTGGAGGAACCAGCTCTCCCAGGCACCCTCGTGGCTGATACCAAAGAGATTGCAACCAAACCTCCATGATGGGAGGTTGTAGGCAGCCACAGAGGCCATCTGGGCTCCTCCAAGGCCGGGTCAGTGTTTTGGCTCTGATGCACAATGCAGGGTTTGCCACCTCCTGCAAGCCAGCTGGGCTTTCTGCTGGCACGGGAATTGGGGCTGGATTCACGATTCCCTGCCCTGGCAGGGCTAAGGGTGTGTGGATGGGTTCCTGGGGAATGTGTTTACTGCAGTACCCACTGCCCTGTAGAGCCTCCCCTGCAGCGAGGGGACACGCACAGCCCCAGCCCCCAGTGCCACCAGTAACCGAGCCTTCATCTTTTATGTTTTTACCATGAACACCAGAAAACTGAAACCCCAAAGCTGCCCACCCTGGGCCCCTCTGCCTCAGTCACACCATCACAGCCCCATCACCTATCCCCAAATCTCAACTGGCAGCTTGTCAGCCCTCGGTCAAGGCACAGAGCGTTGTAATTGCACTACCACATCGAGACTGGAGCAAGACACCCTGGCTTAGCTGGAGAGCTGCAATGACCACTCACGAGCCCAGTAAGCAACAAGAAGAACAACTCTTTTAAATAATAATAATGATGATGATAATAATAATAATAAAATAATAATAATAATAAAAAGCCTTACCCCAGCAACACTGCAACCTTCACTTGCCTTAGCGCCAGCGGCGCTCGCCGGCTCTGGAACTGGACCACGGCAGCCTGTGTTTGATGCATTTACATTTGTCATCCACTGATTGAAAGCACAAAGGAAACAAGGCATTCGTAGTACTAGGTTAATTTAAGACTGTTCGTAATGGATTTTAAAGAGAGAAAATAATAAGAATGGCAAGGATGTTGTTTTTATGACATATTGTCATGTGAAGGTGTAAATAGATGCACCTCTGTTGTATGCAAATGGTCACGAGACAGGCCAATGTTTTTTGCTTTGCACTATAATTTGCTTTTTTAAAAAAAATGCACAATCGCTTGTACAGTAAAACCCCTTTGTCTGGCTCACAGAATATTTAACTATAAAAATCTAATTTTTGGTCTTATTTGTTATAATAATATAATTCTTAAACGTGTTGAAGGATACGATTCTTAATAATGCTTCTAATACCTGTATGTGCAGGGTAAAATAACACCAGACTAAGGAGATGAGAACAAAGATCTTTGTAGATAAAGAAGGCTGAAGTTTTTTGAGGTTTTTTTCCAATGGTGTCTTACGATGGACATTAAAAAAAAAATGCTAGTGATACCAAAAAAAAAATGTGGTTATTTGTGTAATATACCAGCCCTACTTGAAGGTAATGCCCTATATTTAATATGTAGCCCAACTTTTTAACCTGTAGCACTTGTCACTGGGGAGGGGGAAGGGGGAGGGAGAGGAGGAGGAGGAGGGTCTGCTCCTGTTGAAGTCATTGGAAGAAGCTGTGGCTTCCCTGAGAACAGTCGGGCTCCGTCAGGAGGGGCTGGGGATGGCACAGTGGTCAGGTCTGCTTCTCTGGTATCGGTGTCGATGTTCTTATCCAATGTACGTGATTATCGAGCCAGGCCTCCATGTAATCATGTTAATGACTTTCCATGTGGAATAATAAACGTATGGTTACGAGTCTGCCCTGTGCCTTCTGCCTGCTCACTTCTCGCTGCGGGGGAGCAGCTGCCACACAGGAAGGTTCCTCACGCTGCTTTTTCTCCAGGGTCTGATTTTGGCACCTCTTTGAGCACCACAGTGCCCAGATCTGGTGTTTGGGGGGGTCTCAATCGCAGTTTGGCCCAAGGAGGCACGGTAAGGGTGGCCAGGGAGGGGGCGGGCAGGGATGTGATGGGCCCTGAGAAAACCCCTTTATGCTTCTCCAAGGTGGGTCTGGACCACTAACCTTGCACTGGGGTAGACCTGGCAAGGTGATCTCTGCATCCCAGCCAAGCGCCCCACTCCCTGCCCTCCGCCTGTCATCGCCGCGCCGCTTCCCGAGCCGCCAAAGCTCCGGCACAAATCTTCAGCGGGACCCAAACTCCCAGGCGGTCCAAGCCCAAACCCTTTAGCACTCACCACTCGCCTCCAGAACCCAAATGACTGAAAAGGCAAAAATGAAAAAAATCCCAGCCTACAATAGCAGCCCATGCCAAGGCGCTGCAGGCTGGGGCTCCCGAGGAGCCGAGTCACTCAGCGCCGGAGTTATTCATGATCCCGGAGAAGGAACGCCGGGGCCGTGCCAGCGCCGTGCCCGAGAGCAGGCAGGACGTGCTGGAGCCAGGGCTCTGCCTCCTCTTTGCAGCATCTCCGTGGGCACAGCCCTCAGCAGTGTTTGCATGGAAAGAGAGGGGGAAAAAAAAAAAAAAGAAAAAAAAAAAGAGGAGGGGGGGGAGAAATTAGGAAAAGCCCAAACCAAACCACAATAAATGCTCAGCCCTGGCTCCACAGCCCTGGCCAGCGGAAATGTGTTCCAAGGCAAACCCAAGACATAGCTGCCTTTTTCTTCACAGCTACTGGGAGAGGAAACACCCCGAGGTGTAGCTGTTATTTACAGGAACTTTCTGTTCCAAGTTGAGCTGCGCTTTTTCTCGCAGCCTCGTTTAAAGCTGCAAGGGGAAGGAAAGGGAAAAGAAGAAGAGGATGAATAACAAGGGTTTTCTTGTGCTGACATGCGTGGGATCCATGGAATCTTTGGGGTGCCAGCCCTCTGCCAAGTGGTTTTGGTGCTGGTACCCATGGGGTGATGGCAAAGGGGGTGAAGATGTGGCTGGACCAAACCAGTGCAGGGGGGACATGGCAGCAGCTAAAATCCAGCTGGGAGGCCCAGGGAGGTGATGGTATTAAGTACACCCAACACCTGAGGGCCAGATGGGTGTTATTTTTATATGGGTATTATTTTTATATGGGCATTATTATTATTATTATTATATGGGTGATATTTTTATATGGGTGATGTTTTTATATAGGTGATACTTTTATATGGACCACCTACCGTGCACAGCATCCAACGTGCTGCCACTGCATCTTGCTTATACACAAGTTTTGCACCAATTTAATGGATTTAAATGGGAAAGCTCTATCCCAGCATGGCACTGTGGGTGTGGAGTGCACCAGCCTCTCCCAAAAGCTCCCAAATACCCGAGGGTTCCTGCTGTTCCCGGGGGACGCAGGAAAACATGACTGAAGCAACAGTTTGGGGCCGTCAGAGCAGGAATGCTTGGGTTTCTTTTGCAACAGCAAACTGAAAGGGGAAGAAAAAAAATCACTGGAGCTTGGAAGACTATTTTTTTGAGCATTCAGATATTAAATTGCCTGGAGTTCGGGCTGAAAAATCTCCGAGGAAAAATGAAGACTATTTCCTTTGAGATCACAACTAACAAAAGTCTCAGAAAAAATCTTATTCCATTCTCATTCCAGACTGAGCTCTAAACCCCAGCCTCTATTTTAATGGCTCTGTTGTGTCCAAACTGTGCCTCAGTAAATAATTTTTAGCCTGCAAAGACTTGGAGGCTACGCAGAATACGGGAGAAGGATCCTGGCTCTTGCCTTGGCTACACCATCCCTTGCCCTCATCAAGCCCTTAACGAGCCTTGCACAAATGAGGCCTAATCTTGTTCCTCTGAAATAGGGCCAAAGAGAGGTGGAGAGCAGCCATCCTGCATCCCCAGGGACACCCTGAACCTACAAACAGGGACACCCATCTCCTGGTCCAGTGTGAGATTCCCACTTTGGCATCATCTCCATGGGGGTGAATCCTCCTGCAGGGCCTCCTGCTGGAAAGGACGGGGGGTTTGTTGGGGTTGGGGTGGGTGTTTTTTTGAATACTGCCTATTTAGAAGCTAAATGATGGAAAACATGGAAAATTCATTAGGGTGTCTGGGAAAGTGTTTGGTTACACGTCATTCACATCCACTTACTCAGCGGGACCTCACGCCTTGGGGGAGATATATATTTATATGTATTTGTATGTATATTTTATATATAGGAGTTGTGGGGGGGAGGGGGAGTTTCTCTCCATTTAAGTCCCAGACAGGCACAAAAGGGAGACCTTCTGGTTCTCACAGGCTTTTCAAAACTCACTGCCCCCTTTCACCTGGTCTCGGTGGGCTCTGTCCCCTTCCCACCCCTTGGGGCCAGCCCTGCTGCTCAGCATCACTGTGAGGTGACCACTGCCATTCCCACCCTTTGGAAAAGGCAGGATTTGTTGACCCAAGGCCTGCAAAGGGCAAATCCACCAACAATCCAGGACCTGCTGGCCAGGATCCCCGTCTGGCTGTTCCTGCAGTGCTGGCTGGCAAAAGGTTTGGCGAGGATGGGAGCTGGGAGAGGAGCAGGGGTGGAGGGCGGGTCCAGTGCCCAAACTATGAAACAAAACAAAAAAAACCCCATCAATCCTTCA